CTAGGAAAGGCAAGACGATGGAGTGAAGCATACCGTTAAACTATAAAGTAATAAACTGGACGTGCCGAAATTAAATAGCGACGGATTACGCTGTAAAGCAATCGACATGCATTGAAAATAATGGCAGAAAGGGCAGTTTACGGTAAAAATTGTTAAAGGAGTGCGCCCGTAGGAAAGGTAAAGTACGGTACGAGGAGGGTCCCGAAAGGAACTAAAGAGCGTATCCCTTGCGGCAGGGGATCTCGGTCGCCCCGGACTAATCCGTAACGGGTGCGGAAGCCTGAGCGCACGGTGTCTTTAAGTGCTGTCGTATTAATGATGGTCGACTGTTAAATAAAACTCGCGAATAATAACGGGTTCGATCGCGACAAAGTAAATCGATCTAACAACGAGCATCAGAAAGTTTCCTCAATTGTTGTTGGACAGTGGCAAATTTGAGATTGCCGGACTTTCCACTTCTCCAGAATTCTACTGCTCTCTTTTTATAGTCGAAGTTAAGCGCTGTGTCTTGGCAAACCGATTAAGACGGTGGTGGCACCGTTTCGTCAGTCCACTCTCCTTCATCTTCAACATACTCAACCTCCCGTGCTTGAAAAGGTTCTTGAAAATCCAATGTTGAATCTTCAGTAATCTCATATGAATTAAATTGGAATATACTATCCAAAAGAGTCGTTTGAATAGATTCTTTTAATAGTATTTCTTGTCGATTAACTTCCGCCTCTATTAAATACATAGTTTGAAACGTACCTAACAAAAGGTTGATCACGTTTATGGGATTTATAATCATTACATACAAATATATCGTAGCACGTCGACAAAATAATTTCACAAAGACGAAGTCCTGATCAGAACTGATCAGCATCGAATCCAGTGCAGACTTTATAAGAACGCACGTCGGCGTAGACGATTCCAAATTTGATTTGATTCAACGTACTATTCCCGTACCTTAGGTATCGAATATCGCTGACTCTATTTTTTCGTAAAAACAGTGAAAATTCAATTTTATCGTTTCATCACGGAAATTGCATTACTAGTTGGAAACGGGTGATGACTGCATCGTCGAATCCGTTGCGAAGCAATTTTAGCCTCTGAAACTATTTTTCAATTTATTTATAAATAATTGCATGTTATGAAAATCAATGACATTTTGAAGAATTATCACGATGACACGACTTATGTACGATGAATTGGTCACGATATAACCCAATAAAGGTAGTCGGAATGTACCCTAATATCACCTACATTCATTGTTTACAACCGATGTGTAAATGTTTATTGGCAAAAAGCAAAAAAAAACGTATTTCTTAATTTTTTGCGAGCAATCCCATCGCGTAAGTGGAACTTAAGTAGGAGTGCTTGTTTAATGGATATTACAAAAAAATGTCACCTGAAGGGTAGTTCACCCCCTTGAGGGGGTGCAACATTGCTGAACAATATGGTGTTGTCACCGTCCTTATACAGAATACGTTTATGCAAAGTTTCATCGAAATCCCTCCACTGCTCCTACGAAAAATATTTAAAAAACCGATTTTTCGCTAAACTTTGGGGAGTTGTTTCACCCCTTAATTATGGTCCATTGCCGATATAAAATAACACGTGTCTCTTAGATTTTTGTGTTCTTCAACATATATGAAACTCAATAAGATCGGAGGCGGACACTTGGGAATGTTTCCTTGTACGTCGACTATTTTCAATTATTAAATTCTGTTTCCAGAATTGGATTCAGCGACCTTGTAAATCTTGGAAAAACCGCTTTTTTTTAATAAAAAATGCTAGTATTTTTTTAATAAAATATGCTAGCATTTTGTAATTTCGTGTCCGCCATTTTGAAATTTGAATTTATGTTACCAGATTTGGATCGAGCGATTATAAAAACCACGCTAAGCCATTTTTTATAATAATCCAATAATTTTGTTGAAATTGTCTTATTCGTTTCTCTTGATTCGCCATTTTGAATTTTAAATTCGCATTCTGTTGTTACATTTGAATTCAGCGGTTCTATAATTCTGGAGAAATCCTTTTTTCTTATAAAAATCGAATCAGTGAACTTTTTTTGTCCCCCATATTGGGTCCACCTTTCGAATTTTGAAATTATATTATCTGACTTGGTTTCAAGGTTCTCAAAAACTTTAAGAAACTTTGTTTGTACAAAAATCCAATCATTTTAAAGCTGTGATGGGTATAGTTCTTTTTCGTTTCGTGCGAGTCGATGTCGCATGTCAGCTGCCCAAAAACTATGACAGTCGACCTATCATGTCTGTGCGAAAGAGCAAACTGCGGATGGGGCGACAACGATGATGACAACAGAATCAAGATTCTGAGAGGCTGAAAATCTTAAAAATGCTGTATCTTTACGCAGGTACTAGCGATCGGAAACGGGTAAATTAAAAAAAATTCCTGATTTTTTTCTTGATTTTTTTATATGATCGGACGTTCTTTTTTTCCCTGGGAATAAAGAAATTGTATTTCTATTCCCACCACTTCTTAAATCTTGATCCTTGTTGTATAGAACTCTATAGGCTATCGCTCGAGCTCAAGCGCGCGGGACGCGTTTCTCTCGGCGCTGTGTTTCTCGTTCGAAAATGTATTTGGCTTGAAACTTTACCGGGTTTCTTGATTCTCGGGTCATTTAAAGGAACTCAGAATTAATCCTCTAACTGCGGTCTGATTCAGATCTAATTTTTCATTTTCCTAGTAAGCGCTGGTACAAGAAGGATTAAATCAGAGGAGATGGTGGTTCACGAAGGCCGCAGTTAATCTCTTTTCACTCATTGAGAGAATGACATGGAAATTGACAGAGGGAAATTGGTCTGCGTCGCAGGAGGTGTTAATTTAAATGTGTGGTGTCACAAAAATACCAATAAAATGTGGATGAGGGAAAGGGTAATTGTGATTGGATCTAAAATTAAGGTTTCAGTTAAAATGATCAAAGGTTTATTATAATGGGGTACATAATTTGAGGGATATAAAATAAAAGTCGCGGTGTGTGTGTGTGTGTGGGTGTGTTCGTGTGTTCGCAGGTGTATGCAGGTGTTTTCCTTTTTAAATATCTTGAGAATAGGAAGAACATTGTGTCGATCGTAATAGCTCGAATAGTTCGTTCGAGATTTAGTTGCCATGGTTCTTGCTGTGGGGAGAATGCTGAAGTTGACCTTGATGATGATATGGATGCTGTAGTTGACCTTGATGCTGATCCTCAAACGTTCAATTTGGAGTTGAACGAACAAAATGCAACTCGCGTTACCCGCATAAACAAGTGACTTAAGAAATGTCGACCAAGATTAGAAATGGTTCAGGACGAACTGTTGAAATAGTCGAAGTGATGTACGAAGTAGAAATAGAAGTGGAAGTACAGGTCGAATATGCAGATGTAGTCTAAGTTGAACTTATCACAAGAAGTGATGTGCGCTGCTTAAGTTCTATCTTATATAAGTTTTCCACCCCTAGGACGCGAAGCCCTAAATTTCGGTAGTGGGGTTTGGAAAAATACCCTTACTCCCGGTGGTAGGGTTTGGAAAAAAAAAGGAAGAGAGGGAAGTTAATAATTTTGTTGTCTTGGAAAAGTTATCGGGCACGTCATTACTACCGAAATTTATACGCCTGCACGTGCGGGGTGGCTTCCGATAACGCGAGGGCCCTATTTCTTGAATTTTTACAATTTTACAAGCGCAAGCTGAAACTTAAAATTATTTGGACCTCTCTATCTTAATTTACGTTTCCATTTCTGGAATATTTCTTATTTGACAGTCGGATCGACTGGTCGCGGGAACTAAGGCAGGATGACCCTCTGTTATCTGAACCTTTGTAAAAAATTATCTGTTTAAATTTTTAAACTGTTATGACTCTTCCCGGGAACCTGTGTCTCCCGGTCTTAGTTTGATATGTGACCTGATGCACGCGCAGGAAACAGATGCATGTGCAGGGAGCGTTACGTGAAACGTAACAACGGACAGGCAAGCTAGAAAAATGTTAACCTAACACTGTCCGGACCTCGAAAACGAATCAAGGATCTAAATTGGCCGGGTTGATCGAAAAGAGATATTCCGGGGGGTCGAGAACAGGTACTACAATAACCGGTATTTACAACAAAATAGATTTAGAAGACGGTATTTGTACGCGAAGCCCCGAACGGAACGATAAACCATTATGGCATAATGAGTCGCGAATACTCGATAGGGCGCCACGTGGTAACCGTTAGAAATAGAGTATTGAGGGTCGCGTGCGAGGAGACCGATCGCATAAATGTGAAAAATAGGAAGGAAGCGGATGTTAATTCTTTCCCAAAAAGGGTTCGCTCACCAAGTTGAACAAACAGTTAAGAGCGAGACGGCAGCAGGGCGTCAGCGGGACTACACAGGATGGTAGAACAATTTTTGCTGGAGCACAAACAAATAGTGGTACCGGCGGCACTCAGAGTGTCTTTGACCATACCTTCCGAGGTCCGGCAGAACCACCGAATTACGGAAAACCGCATCCACCGATTCCGACGGCGACGCCGTACCGTTAGGCACTAAGCAATTAACGGCGCTTACGCCAGATGTCGTATAGGGTTTCGCTGCGCGGTTCTTAAATGATTTCATTTCACTCAAAGATCTGCCCACAAAGCGCTAGATGAGAGCACCTCTATAAAATACACCTACTCAACCCAGGCTCACGGAAGCGATCACCCGATGTGTGACATATAACACGGTAGTTTGTTGGTCAAAACGGAATGTTATGCACGGAACGCGGACTGACCATAACATATAATAGTTACTTACATCCAGTTAAACGACAAGGATGCCCCCTAGTGCCGCCAACCGATGCTTTAATAGAATAAACAATCTAATTCGGTACTCACCGTCACTGCTCCGTCCTGACTTGTGACGACAGAATTCTGCCCAGTCACAGTAGAAAATGTTTCCCAATAGAATATTTATGAAAATATAATAACCAGCATGTAGAAGGTCAATGCCGTAAATTTGCTAAATTTTTAAATTGTATTTAATGTTATTTTTCAGAGGAAACGTGGTACGGTTCTGGAAGTGGATCCGGTGAGGGAACCGACGAAGGTCCAATAACAGACGACGAGGACGGCTTCACCGAGGGTGGTTCGGGTTATAAACCAAATCATTCGATCCCGGAACAACCTAAACAGGTTCCACCGTCGGTCCACGAAGACACAATTCCACCAAGAGTGGACATAGAACCAAAGAACACCTCCGGGAACAAAACAATGGTTGACAGCGGTGCGCCAAGGCCGCAAATGTCGTTGACGAGGGCGTTAACAACTTATCTCTTCCCCATAGCGGTTATGTGGTTCGGTGGTTGTCTTACAGAATGGCTGTGATCTGGCAATTTCGTAATGTGTAATGTGTAAATATTTTCGAATACGTTCTATTCCTGATCTGACTGACAGCGTGGACCTCGTTGAATACATCCGAGGCGATCCAAAGCGAGTCTTCCCCATATAATGAAGGGAGGAAGGAATAATAGACTTCTATGAAGAACATTGTTAGTCTTTGAATATTTTGTAGAGTTGGCAGGGATGGAAGCCGTATATAGGACTGCTAATATAAAGATTTTCTAAAAAAAAAATCACGTGAGCGCTAGTATGGTGAGAATTGTAAAATAGTAGGGGTATGATGAAGTTACAAAATTGTGACTGAGGAAGAGTGAACTCCTAAGGTGGACAGTGTTCAAGCAGTAGGCTAAACACCTTCCTGCGGCGAGTACGTGGATAGGTACTTGTTCGATTTATCAATCGGAAAAAAATATTCGAATCGTGGGACTCTAGTTATATTTTCGGTAACCTATCAATTAGATTAAGGGTTTGCACATTTTTTTCTACTTCCTATTGTACACTAGTGGACACGAATGCCTCCCTTACGTGTATGATGCTACCAGTGTATAAAGAGAAGTCATTCATGCCCGTCATTGTGCAATAATGACATTTTCCTTACATGTTCGTGATTATTGTACGAATGTGTAATAATTAGAATTCGTAACGATTCAAAAAGTCGAACGGTGCCACATCGGTATATGTATTTTTTTCTACTAGATAATAGCAAATATTGGTGCAATGCTCCTTTTAGATTTATATGTAGTCACGTTTGCGATAATTACAAGACAGTGGTTGCCTCAAAGATTTCCAAAATAATGGCTCGATTTAAGAACCTGGGGGTAGTGGCTGCATTAGGAAACTACAAGAAGTGTGCTATCATTACTCGAACTGACGACACAATTGCAAGGTTCTATGGAAATATTTCTTTATTTATGTGAATGTAATGTTAGGATGTGCGTAATGAATGCGTAACTAGTAACTGGATAGGAAAACTAAAGAATTGAAGTTGTGGTCGTAGCTGTATCAACGAAAATCAGTAAAAAAGGAGTGATAGAAACAAGTTCTACCATGCCCTTCCTTGTACAACATGCTCTTCACTAGTATGTAAAGATTATGACAAGCAAGCATATAAATACTTGTGATTCCGAATATCCAATCCAAATGCAATGCAATTATTTGTACAAGAAAAAGGATAGCACAATTATTCATATAGCAAAAGGAACGAACAAAAGAAATATATAAAATTAAATAAGAGAGAAATGAGACACCCTGTACGAACGTTTAAGGAAAAGTAAGAATTTAAAGAATACTATTACAATATTGTTTTATTTAATTAAAAAGACTAAAAAAGGCATTTCATTTTTCTAAGTGTAATTATGCGGAAAGTATCGGACTACGTAAGGAATAAACGGAACAAGAGTAAACCGAATCTACTTAGTTTGGACATTTAACGTTTTTTTAATGTCAAGTCAGTGTAGTTCCTTTCTTCCATTAACTGTTTTCTCGAATATGCCCAGCATCCATATTCAGCTTGTTAAACTATAATCAACAGTTGAAGAACTGAAGAAAACCTTGTAGCGTCAAGAAATGATTCAGTCTCGATGCTGGGCAATTCTGGATTTCATTCTTGTTCTCGGAATGAACTCAATTTATTCCGACTCGTAATTTCGACTGCAATACTTTCCGAGGCTTCCTCCCGCCATATCTGCGTACCGTGCTTCTTTAGCAATTAGGTCCGACATGTCGATAAGTTAGGAGAAATGAGCTCCTGTGATAAGAGGTGAAGAAATCGCATGGCTTCAATTAAATGAACTGTTTCAGATAAATTCTGTGTCGGTTTGATCGACGAACAATTTGAGCCTGCGGTGAGAGACGTTTTACAAATCTAGTGAAATATNAAATTAATATAAAATTAATTGCATTTGAAGACTTTACTGAGAATGTGTAAGATGATCGGGGCCGTGACTGCGGAGTAACTTTCTTGTAATGTAATCTAACATCGGTAACCCAAAGGATCGGTTTTCTAATTTGAGTATGAAAAGTGGAATAATTATTATCCGAATAACATATGCCTTGAATGATTCTGAGTATAACCCTGGTTACACACATACCGGACAAAACTGTTCTGCATCGATTCTGATGGTGAGGTACGTGGATTAGCATTGTTTACACATATATATCCGGCAGACGTACATCAGAAACCCGACCAGTGGCTTCCTAAACATACCTACAGACAATCTGACGTTGGATATCGGATATCCGTGTCAAGTTGTAAAAACTCAAATGAGAACGTTCACATAATTCATTTGTGATCGGTCCGGCAGCAATGAATCATTGATACGAACTGAACTTAGTGCACATATGTAACAATCAAACCGGGCAAAACTCGGAGTACGTGAAATTTTCATAACAATCCCACCAAACACAGTAACGTAATATAATTATAACATAAAGTTTGTAATAATGAATGTAACATGTAAGTAAGATTCATGTTACAATTTCCTACGCAGCTGCAGAACAATATTAAAAAACAAACTACGTAACATATATCTAACGTGTCGGTAACATGTTATATGTCATATTAAAATTATATAACTCCAATTCTGACAAGCGTATAACAATGTTACCGAACAGTAATAATTCCAGATTATATAATATGAATGTATCTTTTGAATAACAATCGTTACACTTCATGTTATTCTAGCGTTATGTAACTATGAAGGCTCGCGCACATTATAGCCGGGGCGAGCCGCAGTGCACCGTGATATTCCGTCTATAATATGCGATGGTCCATATAAAATCTATGAAATCGATCCCGGGCGGATGTTTGAAATGCGATACGCTGCGATGCTCCCCGGCATAATGTGTGCAAGCCTTAAGGTGAAGTGAAGCACGCCGAGGAACCTCATCGACGTCGATAAAGAAGATTTTTCTAAATACCTACGTTACCGACGTTCGTTTTTATATTGACAGCTGGGTCGAATTATATTGGGTATTGTACCAAATGGCATACTCCACCTGTCGTTTTCATACAATAATTATAAAGAAATCGAAGTAAAACTCCAGAAATCCTCTGGATTCGTGCTTTCTGGGGCCCTAATTGACTGCAGAGGGACCCCCCGTGCCATCTGTGATTTCCAGGTCAATTAAATTTTCACTTTGAGACCTCGTATGCCCATCGTTTTAGCATAGAAACGCATACGATACTTTTTTTTTGCCTTTATCCCGTTCAAATGCGAGTTTATCGATTACCAGAGTATTCTAAATTGTCGTAAAATTGTCCTGACCCTTTAATTTCTCATATCAGAGCCTGCAATAATTGTATGTTGATCGAAATATGAGAGCTCGACGCCATTTCGGTTCTGGTCAGGGCCAAGTTAACAAATTTTTTCCAGAATCCAAATTTTGAATGTTTCAGGACAATTCTTCGATGATCACGAATCACGTGTCAATGTTGCGAACAGTTTGGTCCAATGCTCTAAAAAAAAAGTGTTGTATTCGAATTGACTGATTTGAGGGGGGTTTCACTTCACCTTAACAGTGTATTTGGTGGGACGGGATATTCGATGCCGGACGGTTTTGTCCGGCACGTGTAAAACCAGGGTAAGTGTTATCGTGTTCTACAATGGTAGTACAAGAAATGAATAATTTTCCAGATAACAGAATTACGATTCCAACAGTCGCATAGAAGATACACAAATACATATATTGTTTTTATTTATATAAAGACTTAACAATTAAATAGACAAACATAAGGCGTAATTGATCAATAAAATTCATGAATAACTATCTTCTGAACGCACCCATCCGAATTCAGAGGAATAAGATATTAGATTTGTACAAAACAAACGTGCGAAAATTGTAGAATATATATCCCTATGAAATGTAATTTCAAACGTAACTTGTTATTAATACATACTCGGATTGTAGAATCGGTTCTGAAGGGACAATTTACTACTGGTAGATATGGTTCGATGCGAAAGAACACAAGGTATTTTGATTTTGTGGTATTGCATTAATACAGTTCCTCAAAAAGTACCACGTTATTCCACTTTAACGCAATCAGATTGTTACCACGTTTGAAATCGCATTACGCCACTTTCGTTGCGGTATGATAATATTCATGTGTTCTCCGTGCTGCGCTTGTAGAGATACCGATGCTCAACAAAGAAATGTTAATCATTTTACGTAATGGTAATGTGCCGCAATGCACTCTAGGAAACACCCACACTCCATTATGGGACGTCTTTGTGCGCTTATAAACGCTGACAGTACTGAAAGAATTAAAAATTGATAACTTCTAGACATGGTTTACAATTTCTTTGTACAATTTAGAGACTGTTATCCAAAAGTGTTTGGAAATAGAATATGAAGAGTGTAAATGACTTTTTTTTGGTAAAATGTCTGCGAACAGAGACTTTCTATTGTGGCCTTTCTTGTGGAACTATAACCATTGTATATTAATGTACATGTACGCCGATTTCTACGTGATCATAAAGCAAATTAAAACTTGCTGTATAACACAATATTATGATTCACCACAGATTGGATTCAATCATGAAATTTTCTATCTCCGAACTAAAGAGTATATAGTAATTGTAGATCACGCCTACAACTACTGCTATTGATTTTAAATCTTTTTTGTTCTTGGTATAACATTTCGAGAAGTTATTCGCGGAAGCTTGCGTTTCGTTTACGGCGCTTAAGTAATATTTTGTATCTATAAAATATCATTTGTGAATCGCATTAATAACTTGTTATATTTTAACGCAAGTGTGGAACGACAACATTATTCATAATTAAAAAAAGAAAATGACATTATTTTAACAGTATTTCTCTTTCCTATGCTTTTGCTGAGAACCGAAAACAATAGATACAATAGAATACATCTTTGCCAATCAGGAATACACTAATTTAGTCTTTTTAATGCGTTTGTTTAATTTTTTAAGGATCCCGCGTTTAGATGAAACACATGTTAAGGGTGTGAAGTTTTACTAGTCCATAGGAAACTATAGTATCTAAGCAAAACGGTCAGAAAATCGTTTTTAAATTATAACGATAATGATTATATTCTGTAAAGCTGTATTCCAATCCGTGCCTCGAGTGATCTGTGTAAACTATTTTTTATTATTAATTCGAAAATTAATTTCATGTAATTCCTTGATCCCTTTCCCGGACCTATGTAGGTACTCCTATCTATTGTAATCAATATTCTATGTACGAATCGTTGAGTATTGTAAATTCAGTTTTTCTAACAATTTTTCTTTTTCATTATAACCTATTATAAAATTAGTCTGCCAATTTTCTCAAGAAAAATAATTTCCCGGAAAGAATAATTTTCCTTAATCAGTTTTTGTTTAGGGAAATATCTTATTCTCTTAAGTCTATTAAAGTAATTAATTTATTTAAAATTGCAGATACTGAATACCTATTACAATTCTGGTCAGTTGTATGGCATTCATAATGTAACGTTGCATATTTCTACGCAATGCTTTCTTGTTCAATAAGGGTTCATTTAAAACTCGCATAATTATTGGAAAGAGAGATAACATATTTGCCATATTCGAGTGTTATATGCAAGTTACGAAAATCTTTATTAATCTAACTTGTTTACTACATGCTACAAATAGGGTAAGGACTTAACCACAGGGTGCGACTAGTAAAACGCTAACACTCTCAATCCATATTCTAGTATCAAAGAGTTTATTAAATTAAACCAACTAAAAAAGCTTCCTGGTGTCACTAGATGCTTGCCGAGTACTAACCAACGGACTAAGTCGAGCGGCGCAGCAGCGCTCATCTTATCCACGCGGATGTGAGCTTTACATATTTTGCGACGCGATCGACTTTTGTCGACCTTTCTCTTTATGTTTTTCTACGTAAATTTTCATGAAAAATACAAAAAATGCTTGCGTTCTCTCTTTCTAAAATTACACTGCAAATTAGAAAACGTATATTCATGAACTTCCTACATCCACCTTGAGTAATTAGGGAACGTGCCGCCGCGATTACTTAACACCTTTAAAGATCGTAAGAAAATCTCTTCGGGGTCGTCCACGGCGTGTATGTCTTCCTTCATTATCCAAGAGTTGTCCTGGTCCAAACGAAATTCTCAAGTTGGAAACCGATAAACGGTTCTTCAGAGCAGTGGCTGCATTTTTGAATTCCTTATCCAACGAAATGTTGTTAATCTCACGACGTGATAGCCCTGTTTCGTCATTAAGTGGTTCAACGGGGACTTCTTGGCCCATTTTCAAGAATGGTAATCTGTTACAGGGGCTTGGCTAACTCTTGAGGAGCTGTTTTTATACGAGCGACGCGTGCAACGCCGTCGTGCCTTTAATAATTCGTGTCACGTGCCCCAGGGGCCAATCTAAACGTTTCTTGTTATCGCTGCTAACCAAGTCGATATCATCTTCCTTAATAGCGAAATAAGCGCGTTTAGACGTCGTGTGTCTCGTTTTAGCGGTCCCAAATACTCAGAGTAGAAACACATGTTCAACTTTCGACGTAAGCGTTATCAATACTTCAATCGTCGATCTAAGAACGTCTTCTCTAATTGGTCAAGATCAGGAACACTATCCCCGTGAATGTCCTTAAGAAACATTTCGGGAGTAACTTCCGCTAGTTTGTCATCATCGGAGAAATAGGTCAAGGGACGTGCATTGATAATAGTGTTACGAAGTTGCCTTATTTCCTCGCAATAAAGACGCGCATTAGATTAAATTATCGAAAGATAAATATCGAATTTGAAGCAACGATAGTGTCACCTAATTAACTCGGAAAAACAACAATGAGTGGAGCGGTCATTGAGGAATATTTTGGCTCTACCGCACGCCTTCTGCATCAAATTGCACTCTGGACCGAAATACGGGCCAGGTAATCCGTTCACATAGTGACTT